AGTTCAAATTAGTCTCTTCTTAATATATGGAATTTTGAAAGTCATTGTGACTTACAAATTGAAGTGTCAATTTTTTTTCTATTGATACTACCCTCTATGTGAGTTAAAAGACGTGCCACTTGATGTTGTTAAGTCTCGAGGACATGCTTGTGTAGCAATGTTCTAGCTTACATAAGATTTTGAATCTTAAGCATTGAATGAGCTAGAACAAATGCGGGATAGATGTGGGAGACTGGTAAAGGGACCAAGACGAACTATCAGATAGTAAGTGAATGAAAGTGGTTTTGGTAGAGGATCAATGTTATAAAGGTTCAAGTACTTCAACTATACGATTTGAATCTCTTAGCTCGAAAGTGGTAAAGTTAAAAGATATTGCACTTGAATATATTCCTCTTAGTGTTGTTTATGTGTCAACACTATACATATTGGATCTATCTTGTGTGGATGGTGGATTCAAAGGTTAGAAACCCACTTTGTATGAGATCAAAATGTATATTATTCTATTGTCGAGTCTTTAACTTGATACAAAGTAGATATATACAAATAATAAAGATGGGATGAATGTTTATGTGACTGATATTGGAATTTAGTATTGCAAAGTGGAGAAACTGATCTTCTATTTGATATTAAGATAATATTAAAGACTCCACTAAATTTGATCTCAGTTATTGTTCTTCTAAGAGTGGTCTTTTACTTGAACTTATGCGTGGTATTTCTATTCGTACTCACAGTGGTGATGTTTTTTATGGTTCTGGATATTTATGCAATTGTTTGAAGTTTTGAGTTGAGAAAATCATTCAAAATTATAAGAGCTAAATTTCCGTAGAATAAATTCATCCAAATTTTTTTACGGACTGTGATTAAAAGAGATAGATATGAAACTTTACTTTTTATTACATTTATAGATAGATTCACGCGTTTCAGATATGCCTCTGATTTTCTTAAATTGAAGATATTGTATTGGTTTAGATTTTTTTTTTGAAGTCAAGTAGAAAATCAGATTGTGAAAGTGAAGACTTTGAGAATTATTTGATGCCATGACTCTTTATCACGAGATATCAATGATCTATTTAATGAAAGAGATTTTTATTTGATAGACTATTCCTTAATCACCAATAATTATATGGTGTATTTGATTGAAAGAATGAAATATTGATGAGTGTGATGAGGTTTGAGATATACAGTCCAACTTACGTATTTGCTTTTGAAAAGAGCGTTGCCTAACTACAACGTATCAGTTAATGGAACTCTCTCAATGCTGGTAACTTTATAATATATAAGTTTGGACACGTAAATAATCTAATGTGGATTATCATAGACTCTTAATTGACTATATATGTTCTCGATAATGTGTATGAGAACATGAGTCTGTTAAGAACAAGATGTGTGTTTCAATGACATACATATAGTCTAAAAAGGTACTTAAGTGAAATTTTTGAATTGATATCGAGTCATAAGATATGACATTTGACATTTTTCCCAATAGAAAAAAAATTGGAGAATATCATTGAAATTGATGTTATATGTATTGATGAATCAGTTTTGAATATATAAGAGATGATTTAAACTTCTAATTCAAGTGGGAGTAATCTGTTTTCGAGTTAGACTTATCTATCCAAGTGGGAGCCATATAAGAACTGTCTAATTTCAATGATTCTTAGTTCCAAATTGGATCTAAGAGCTAGTTCAGAAAATCAAGAGAGGAATTTCGAGAAAAGTAATGGAATTCTATATATGGAGAATATAATTTTCAACCTAATCTGAATATGATGAAAATTCTATGTCGACATTATATTTACCGAAAATATTCAGGTTCTTGAAAGTTAAGTGGGAGACTAGTGAGTTTCTGATAGATAAAACTCATTTTTTAAAAGGTTATACTCAATGTGAGTGTATTGAGTTGAATAATTTTTTTTCATAACGATGGAATTCACTTCTATACATCAATGCTAGCCATGATGGTATGTTTAAATTTAGAGTTACACCAAATCGACTTAGAGACTTTATTTTTTATTCTCAATTTAGAAATGATTAAAGATATCAACATGAATGGACTTTTAGATTACATTTTAAAGCCTTTTTTGTATAGTGGTAACTTTACAGTTACATACATGACCAAATACAGTTATCTCGACAGTCATACTTGAGTTTTTAATAGGGTTAAATATCGTACAAGAATTTCGTCATATGGACGAAAATTATTGTATTTGTATAAAAGGTCTGATG